ACGGCTACCCCTCTTAGACAAATTCAGACTAGGAATAAGGCATACATTTTTAATGGTAGCATAATGAACCATAGGAACAATTTACCCAGGGTTGCAGTGAATTCTCCATCACTGACAACTTTTAAATCAGGATTGGATGTGTTTCTAAAAGATCTGCTCTAGGAATTCTTTTGGGGATGTTCTATGTCCTGTGCTATACAGGAGGAAAGACTAGATGACCACAACGGTCCCACCTGGCTTTAGAATCTATAAATCTATGAAAACCAACAGTGCATTTAGTGTCTAAAAGCTGTGTGTCCTGGAAATGCTTTATTTTGCTGCTTTTTCCCCCACTTTGTGGGTATGTGAGAAACCAAGACACTGAGCCAGCTTCTAATCCCGAGTGGTGAGAGGTCTGCTTGGAAAGGGCTGCAGCTACACAAGGTTCCAAGAGACTCTTTTCCACTGCAGGGGCTACAGATGGTCAGCACAGACCCCAGAGTGGGTGGGCTCCCCACTGCAATCTGTCTCCAGAGCTCCTGTGGGGCCCTATGTAGAGATGAATGCTAGAAACATTACCTGCCCTCACCAGGGTAAATCCTTCACAGGCCACAGCAGCAGCCCTTGCTGGTGAAGGAAGTTGTCATTTGCCCTATCTATACATGTGAGGATGAATGAAGCCCCCTGTGTATTATTACATAACAGTTCAGACTTGGCTTAATTTCTTGTATCGTCTCCTTATCGGTCAACACCATGGCTATGGAGGAAACAAGAAGTCCATCTACTGCCAGCATTGGTATCTCCTCCAACCAATAGTCATTTGCCTCCTTCTCTTCCAGAAATGGCATGTCCTTCCTCATCATCAGCTTACCTCCCCTTTCTATGATACCATTAGCCCCCCTCTCTCTCCAGATACCATCCAGTCCCCCTTAAGTGGTGTTTGTTCTTCTTAAATGACAATCTTTGTAATGGCAAAATATTTTAGAAGTGGGGTTTCAACAGAAAGGATGTAAAGAGTGAACAAAAGGGTAGAAAATGAAAGCAGAATTCCCTAAACAGAACAAAGGGTTAGAAATGTATATGAAAAAGAATATCAACTTTTGTGACACTAGCTAGGGTAAAATTACAAGACTATTGATCCTCATACTTCAGGGAATAAATGATCACCAGCTAGGTTCAGGAAGGTTAGTACCACATAGTGGTGGTTGCTATTTTGCTGCCTTATATAAGTTGTATTCTTTTAATCTGCTTTAGTGAGTTCAATGTAATGTTCCACTAATTATGCTATTTGATAACAGCTAGGAAATAAAGAAAAATCAAATTATAAAGATTTTAACTTGCTAATATCTCCAGCTCCCAGAAATGGATGTTTACACAGACATCACAAATGGAATAAGGTGTGAAACCCTTTTGGAGAGAACCAAGATGTTACAACTCAATTTTATAAACTCTTTGATTGGATAATATGCACTTGAACCAGATCCTCAGCTGGAGTAAATTGGAATGATCCACTGAAGTCAGAATAGTGACACCAGGTTTTGACCAGTTCTAGCTACAAGTGAGTTAACTCCCCAATTAATTATAATCCAGTTCCAATTTGGAGTGTGTATGGGACAGTAACTGTGTGCCCAGTTCATATTAACACCTTGCATAAGTCCAAGGCTGGAGCACAGACTGAAGACCCTGTTAAATCCAGGTTAGTTCCCATCTTCACTTCAAAATAGAATGTTGTTTTAACCAGTCTTGTAAATGGGACTCCCTACATGGTTGTTTTTGTAATGTAGACAGGTTCATGACCCACATGCTCTGAGAGAGAGCCTGGCCCTGTGAAAAAAAGGCAACATGCTGTAGTGGAAAGAAACAAAAGGACTTTCTGAAACATAACAGTTTTCATCTTACTTAGCCAACATCCCATGTAATTAACTGCAAGTGTGTTTTTAGTCTAGCTGTATTTCTAGTCTCCTTATTGAACCAGGTCCCTGTCACCCTGGCCTGCCTGCTTTGTGCTGCTCTGGAAATGCAAAACAGGAAGAACGTCTACTTAACAATCTATATGGGAATCCGCAGGATAGGGAAATCCCTGGCTGGAATAGCCAACTCCATACCACCTAGCCATAACATAAAGCAGGTGTCTAGGACATGGCTGAGGAAGGGGACATGGCAAGAGTGCCCCTGCACTCCAGTGATCACCACTTGTGAAGGAGCCCCTTGGGCACTGTTGCAGCCAGGCATAATTTAAAGCAGGCCTGAGGCTGCTCTAAATTATGCCGAGGGATGAGTCAGCCTGTAAGCATGTGTCTTCATCTCTAGGACACAGCTGATGCCTAGATCCAACATTGCAGAGGACTTTGGCTCTCATACCACCTCTGGTGACTACTTCTTTGGCTGCAATGGCCAGTCCCAGCCAATATCTTCTCCCTACCCCCCCCCCCCCCCCCCCCCCACTTTTTTCCCCCCCCCCCCCCCCCCCCCCATCTAGGTCTTCTGTAGCTCAGCCCTCTGGCCAGGTCACATAAGAGTTCACCTTCTTCCAGAGTAGCACAAACAACCTCAAACAGATCCTTAAACTAATAGCCCTTCTGCTTGTCTCAACTTCTCTGTAGTTCCCTTGTTTGCCTTTGCATAGGGCTTTCCCTGCAGGCACCTAACCTGCCTCTGTATTGTTCTTCTGCCATTGTACCCTGTCTGTTAAACCTTATCCCAGCACTTCTCTCTGCCAGAGAGACCTGCCTCCTCTGCACTCTCTTCCCCTAAGTGAGCTCCCTTGGTCTACTTATAAGGCCTAGCTCCACCTACTCTGGCTGGGAGGCAATTAGTTAATCACCCCCAGGTGTGGAGCTGACTAATTGGGGGTTCTTTCCCTTACCTTGCAGATGATGGGGGTTAAGCCCCAGCACACAACCCCAGGATTAGCAAACAGCAAAGGTGTCTTAAACTCCCTTTTATCTTCTCCCCCTTAGCTGCACTGAATGGAGCTTTGGCACAGCTGAGGATCTGGCCCCATTTGTTTACTTTGCAATTTTTCTTTTTTCTCTCTACCCAAGGCAAAATAAACATTGCGTATATTAAAGATACCTATGGCTCCACTTCTCTTCCCACATGCATTGGTGCAAATCAGGATTGACCCCACTGAATTCAATGCAATTAGACTGCTGGAAAGACAGAACACAGTCAAGTTCCTGGAAGTGATTATGTTAGGTGTTGGACTGCTTTTCCTGGGCACACTGAAGAGAAGGAAGTTCACTTTAAATCTCAGAGGAGACTGGGTCGGGAATGAGGGAACAGACCCAAAGAGTGGCAATGCCTTCCTCAAAAGATGCTGCAAAGAAGCTGGCTGCAATTGGTGTGTGCCCAGAGAGCACTGAAAGATCTGTGTGCCTGCTTACAACATCTTCCCAGAGCCAGACTATTAAATCTTCCTTTAAAGCTTTTGACATTGGTCAGTATCAGAAACAGGATTTCTTTCTTTTTCTTTCTCTTTCCAGGCTTAGGTTCTGGGCACTTTACAATACTTAGATGGCCCAGATCCTTCACTGTGCTGTGACTAGGGTGACCAGATAGCAAGTGTGAAAAATCGGGACGAGGGGAGGGGAAATGGGTGTGTGTGTGTGTGTGTGTGTGTGTGTGTGTAAGTAATAAAGTCCTATCTAAGACAAAACCCCTAATAATCAGGACAATCCTGATAAAATCGGGACATCTGGTCACCCTAGCTGTGACCCCTATGCACAGCACCTTTGGGACACAATGGCATAGCGGACCCAGGAGGATCATACCAGTGTAGTAGCTCTGCTGTCAAGTCCCCTCCCTATGGCTGGTGTAAAGCTGTGGCTCTGGAAAAGAAGGCTCAGCTAGAGCTTCCCTGAACTCTGGAGATCCCCAACTGCTGTAATGACCATTTATGGCCACTAGCAGTGGAAGCAAGTTGGAGCAGCCTTCAGACTGCTCTAATTTATACCAAAGGACTAGCCTGTATGTAAAGACAAAACAACCTAACACCTTCCCTTGCGAGGTACAGCCCCAAGTTGGAGCATAAAGGCATCACAACTGGTGCTCTCAGAAATTTAAGCAAAAAAAGAGGAAAGTGGTTTTCAGTTTGATTCACTTGGGATCCGCGGTTTCCTTAGCTGAATGCAAATCCTGCTGCAGAGGACAGGATGGGGGTTTGTGGTCTGAACTGGTCAGGGAGCCAGAGCAAACAAAAGACCAGGTTTGTGAGTGTTTTATTTAAATAGTCTCTCATTCATTGTTTCAGGGAAAGGTTCCATTAATCAGGTTTGTTTTTTGAGGAATGTTTTTCTTACACTTACTAATGTGCTCTTGGTGTATTTTTTTTAAAGTGACCTATGACAATTTGAAGTGTTTCCCCCTTCTCTGGCTGTGTTTACCCTCTCACATGAAGATGCCACAAATGCTCTATACCCTGAAAGCAAGTTATCATTTGTCACCAAATGTTACAACCTCCCATGAGAAAGAAGCAACCTGGAGCCTGTCAGACATGAAAGAGAACAAAGATTCTCGTTTCCCCATGGACCAGAGTTTGGCAACTGTAAAATTCTAACCTAGGGCCACATCATCCCATGGATAATTCTACAGAAATCCCCACCGAATTCATTATTAACTGATGGCACAATATGTCCTCAAGACTGTCAGACTCTACACTAGAGCCTGATCCTCAAACACTTACTACCTTTCACACTGCTCATTCCCATGGGTAGTCCTATTAAAGTCAATAGGACTACTCATGGTAGTAAGTACTACTTTCAGCAATTAGTGTTCGCAGGATTGGGTCCCTATATAATAAAATGATATGGGGAGGGACATCTCCCTAAATGCTTTGAACAGCATTGTGCATGCTTCTCCACTAATCACAATAAAACAGGACAAATTCACCACTGGTGTGACTCTACTGAGAAGGATGGGGTTAAAGGAGTGAATCTGGCCCATTCTGTCTAAGATTAGGTTGAGAGCACTTCCCAACCAAGCTACTTTAAGCACAACTAAAAAGCCCATAGAAATTGTACCTTTTTCCTCAGGAGCAGCAGGCTTTGGGATATTTTCCAGTGCATAAGATTTATTAAATTCCAGATCCGCATATGTTATTTCCTCTGTCATAGCTGGTGAAGAGAGAAGCTTATATTTCAAGTCAAAAAATTATAGCACTTTTGAGGTTCTGCAGCTGTTGAGTGATGGAAAAGATCTGCCGTTTTAGAGAGGGCTCCTTTTTAATGCAATACAAATGAGGCAACCCGGATATCAGAAAAGAGCAGCCCAGAACTTCCTATAACAGGATGTTATGAAAGAAAAATGTTCCCTTTTGATGGAGAAATTGTGCCTCTTTCTTTCTTCCTCTGCCTCCCTTCTCGCCTATCTGCCCTCCACTTCTTTCTCTCTGCAACGGCTGAAGAAAACACAGCCCTGTCTGTGTAAATTCTGTGGTTTGCTTTTTAAAGAGGCAACTTGTTTCTGGAGAACTGCAGGTTCAGGATTCACACGCAGGAGTGAATACAGGCTTTTCACAGCATCATAGTCATGTTCTCTTGTTACCAGCTACATGTGGTAGAGATTAGCACTCCGCACTGCCCAGCAGTGGGTGTGGGATCAATTCTCAGTCCTTGTCTCTTGCCAAAGGGTTCTGACAGTACTCCAGACACTGGGTACAATGCCCAGGAGTTGGAGCTCTATGTGACATGCAGAAGCCCTAAGTCCAGATACTTGAGCCCAGATCCTGGGCTGCTATAAATCAGTGCATTGATCACTGATGTCCAATTTGCACCATCTGAGCATCTGGCATCTAGTTTCTACCACCTCAAGTCAGAAAGAGCAAGGAGTGCTGCAGGGATCAGGACCAATGCCTGGGAACCTCTGCTTTTTTCTCTGACATAAAATCATAGAATCATAGCATCATAGAAGATTAGGGTTGGAAGAGACTTCAGGAGTTCATCTAGCCCAACACCCTGCTCAAAGCAGGACCAACCCCAACGGAATCATCCCAGCCAGGGCTTTGTCAAGACGGGTCTTAAAAACCTCTAAGGATGGAGATTCCACCACCTCCCTAGGTAACCCATTCCAGTGCTTCACCAACCTCCTAGTGAAATCATTTTTCCTAATATCCAACCTAGACCTCCCCCACTGCAACTTGAGACCATTATTCCTTGTTCTGTCATCTGCCACCACTGAGAACAGCCGAGCTCCATCCTTATTGGAACCCCCCTTCAGGTAGTTGAAGGCTGCTATGAAATCCCCCCTCACTCTTATCTTCTTCAGATTAAATAAGACCAGTTTCCTCAGCCTCCCCTCATAAGTCATGTGCCCTAGCCCCCATTCATTTTTGTTGCCCTCCGCTGGACTCTCTCCAATTTCTCCACATCCTTTCTGTAGTGCAGGGCCCAAAACTGGATGCTGTACTCCAGATGTGGCCTCACCAGTGCCAAATAGAGGGGAATAATCACTTTCCTCGATCTGCTGGAAATATTCCTATTAATGTAGCCCAATATGCCATTAGCCTTCTTGGCAACAAGGGCACACTGTTGACTCATATCCAGCTTCTCGTCCACTGTAATCTCCAGGTCCTTTTTTGCAGAACTGCTGCTTAGCCAGTTGGTCCCCAGCCTGTAGCAGTGCATAAGATTCTTCCGTCCTAAGTGCAGGACTCTGCGCTTGTCCTTGTTGAACCTCATCAGTGTTCTTTTGGCCCAATCCTCCAATTTGTCTAGGTCACCCTGGATCCTATCCCTACCCTCTAGCATCTAGCATATCTACCTCTCCCCCCAGCTCAGTGTCATCCGTGGACTTGTTGAGGGTGCAATCCATTCCATCATCCAGATCATTAATGAACATGTTGAATAAAACCGGACTCAGGACCGACCCTTGGGAACGCCGCTTGATACCGGCTGCCAACTAGACATTGAGCCATTGATCGCCATTGGTTGAGCCTGACAATCTAGCTAGCTTTCTATCCACCTTATAATCCATTCATCCATGTACTGGCAAGAATACTGTGGGAGACCGTATCAAAAGCTTTGCTAAAGTCAAGGTAGATCATGTCCACCGCTTTCCCCATATTCACAGAGCCAGTTATCTCATCACAGAAGGCAATCAAGTTGGTTAGGCATGACTTGCCCTTGGTGAATCCATGCTGACTATTCCTGATCACCTTCCACTCCTCCAAGTGCTTCAAAATGGATTCCTTGAGGACTTGCTCCATGATTTTTCCAGGGACTGAGGTGAGGCTGACTGGTCTGTAGTTCCCCAGATTCTCCTTCTTCCCTTTTTTACAGATGGGCACTATATTTGCCTTTTTCCAATCATCTGGGACCTCCCCGATCGCCACAAGTTTTTAGAGATAATGGCCAATGGCTCTTCCATTACATCGGGCAAGTCCCTCAGATGCATTATATCTGGCCCCATGTACTTGTGCATGTCCAACTTTTCTAATTAGTCCTTAATCTGTTCTTTCATCACTGAGGGCTGCTCACCTCCTCCCCATACTGTTCTGACCAGGACAGCAGTATGGGATCTGGCCTTGAATGGGAAGACCGAGGCAAAAAAATCATTGAGTACTTCAGCTTTTTCCACATCATCTGTCACTAGGTTGCCTCCCACATTCAGTAAGGGTCCCACACTTTCCCTGACCTTCTTGTTGCTAACATACCTGTAGAAACCCCTCCACATCCCTTACTAGCTGCAACTCCAATTGTGCTTTGGCCTTCCTGATTACACCCCTGCATGCTCCAGCAATAATTTTATACTCCTCCCTAGTCATCTCTCCAAGTTTCCACTTATTGTATGCTTTCTTTTTGTGTTTAAAATCACCGAAGATTGCTCTGTTAAGCCAAGCGGGTTGCCAGCCATATTTACTATTCTTTCTGCACATCGAGATGGCTTGTTCCTGAAGCCTCAATAAGGCTTCTTCAAAATACTGCCAGCTCTCCTGGACTCCTTTCTCCCTCATATTAGCTTCCCAGGGGATCCTGCCCATCAGTTCCCTGGAGGAGTCAAAATCTGCTTTTCTGAAGTCCAGGGTCCGTATTCTGCTGCTCTCCTTTTTTCCTTTTGTCAGGATCCTGACTCAACCATCTCATGGTCACTGTTGCCTAGGTTGTCACCCGCTTCTACTTCCCCTACTAATTCTTCCCTGTTTGTGAGCAGCAGGTCAAGAGGAGCTCTGCCCCTACTTGGTTCCTCCAGCACTTGTAGCAGGCAGTTCTCCCCAACAGTCCCCAAAAACTTCCTGGATTGTGCATTGCTGTATTGCTCTCTGAGCAGATGTCAGGGTGATTGAAGTCCCTCATGAATACCATGGCCTGTGATCTGGAAACTTCAGTTAGTTGTCTGAAGAAAACCTCATTTACCTCATCCTCTTGATGTGGTGGTCTATAGCAGATGCCCACCACGACATCACCCTTGTTGCTCTCGCCTCTAAACTTAACCCAAAGACTCTCAACAGGCTTTTCTCCAGTTTCAAACTGGAGCTCTGAGCAATCATACTGCTCTCTTACATACAGTGCAACTCCTCCACCTTTCCCCTGCCCCCACCTGTCCTTCCTGAACAGTTTATACCCATCCATGACAGTGCTCCAGTCATGTGAGTTACCCCACCAAGTTTCTGTTATTCCAATCATGTCATCGTTCCTTGATTGTGCCAGGACTTCCAATTCTTCCTGCTTGTTCCCCAGGCTTCTTGCGTTCCTGTATATGCACCTACAATAACTAGCTGATTGTTCTACTTTCTCAGTATGAATCAGGAGGCTTCACATCTTGTACTCTCCTCTTTGTGTTTCCTTCCAGTATCCCACTTCCCCCTTACCACAGGGCTTAGGGCTCCATCCCATGGTGAACCTAATATAAAGCCCTCCTTACTAGGTTGACAACCTGCCTGCGAAGATACTCTTCCCTCTCTTCATTAGGAGGATCCCATCTCTTCCTAGCAATCCTTCTTCCTGGAACAACATGTCATGGTCAGAGAATACAGCACCCTCTCTCTGAAGCCACCTGTGTAGCCACTCATTTACTTCTACAATTTGATGGTCCCTACCTGGACCTTTTCCTTCAACAGGGAAAATGGACGAGAACATGATTTGCGCCTCAAACTCCTATATCCTTCTTCCCAGAGCCACATAGTCTGCAGTGAGCCACTCAAGGTCATTCTTGGCAGTATCATTGGTGCCAACATGGAGAAGTAGGAAGGGGTAGCGGTCCGAGGGCTTGATCAATCTCAGCAGACACATCCTGAATTCTAGCTCCAGGCATGTGAGACTTCAGCTGTAATCCTATTCCTGGAATCTTGTTTGTATAGTCCTAGGAGGATAGTGTATGGCACAAAGACAAGTTCAGGGAAGGGGATAGGTTTTGTGGCTGCACAAGAAGGTAAAGGGAGGATGCAACATGTGTGCTGGCTTTTGTGTCAAGGGGCAAGGAACCTTTGTAGGCCCTGCACTCTTCTCAGTGTGGGGATTGCTCCTTTTTAGAACTCCTCGGGGTTCAAGGCTCTCCTAAATTAAGGGAGAAGGAGGGAAGGAGCTGGCTAGCCTGGGATGGGGGAGGGCATGCTGCACACTCGCACCCTCCAAGAAGACAGAGCTCAGGTGTGTCACCCTGTTTCCCAGGGAGATCTAGCAGGCATTGTATTTTTTTGGGCCATAGTGATTCCCACTTCTCCTGCTAGGGCACTAGAGCTCTGAGCCATAGCTATTAATAGCTGCCATAGTCAGGCCTTACGATATCGAAGCAAAGTTTGTAACATCCAGAGCAATGGAAATAGTGGAACAGGCTCCCCTGGGGAAGTGGCTGAGTACCCAGTGAGGGAGGGAGATTCTAGAGAGTTTGGATTTGATGTGGGAATGCAGTAGGGCATAGTCCCGTGGGATTCCAGGGGACAGGAGATCAGACTGGATGACCCAGGAGTCCCCTATTTGTTATGATTCTGTGTCACCCTCACACTCTGCTGAGGCACAGACAACTTTTCTATGAAGCCCAAAATACACATTGTAAAGGCTGGATGTCTGATGTTCAGGTTTCCTGTGTGACTTACACCATTGTGAAATGAAATAAGAGCTACAACACGCGGATTGCACATGGGTTTCACAATCTGAATCGCTAAAGTAATGGGACCG